CTTTGATGAGATAATCGTCGGAACCGGTGAACACGTATCGGCCCGTTGTGTCGAATTTAATGCAATACACACACGATATGTGACCCAACTTTATGCACAACCTCTTGAACTTCTGGACACGTATTGGCGAAGAGTCGGCTGTAGCCGCGACCGCAGACACTGTATCTGCTTCTTCGTGCGTCACTTCCATCGACTGATTCAAAGGATCGTTTGTCGTGTCCATCGATACGTTCATCGAGTCGTCCATCACAGCAATTGATTCATTCATTGGTTCGCCGATTGTCTCACTCGGCATCTCATTTACCACGGCTTCCGAAGCCTGTTGTTCGCCGGCCACCTCTTCATCGCCCGAATCAAACGATAGATCAATGACTTCGGCGTCGGATACAACGGCTGCTGAACCAATAGCGGCCGTCGTGTCAGTGACCTCTTGGGCGGCTGAATGGGGTTCCGTTGACGGGGAAATCAAACGCTTCAGTTCCCGACTGTCGATATTTTGTACCAATCGCTGACAAGTCATGTTTCCCGTCGACCAAAGAGGTAGAATCGAGTTCAACAAGAAGTTCAACAAATACTGATCCGGAGCCGGATTGTCGATCTTAAGCCGAAAATATTGTTTCATTTTATGGAAATACGTTATATTCAACAGTTTGACTAATTCTTCGGTGAACTGGAACTCCTGTGCCGTCATCTGAGCCGTGAACGCTGTCCGTACGATGAGTTGGTCCACAAGTTTCTTAATGTGAGTCCTATTCTTGTGGATCATGTGCTCGGCGTAGGCGCTCGCTGACCGCTGCATGAGGTCTGCCACCGGAATCGACAGCGCAGTCGACAGTAGAGTGTAAACGATTTGTTTCATTTGGTTCGTCACATTCAATGTGTGGCAAAGCTTTTCGATTCTGTGACACAAAAACAAAGTGACAATAAAGTTAATAATCAATTATTTTGGGCTTTAAAACAATCAATCAATTGATTCACTACTAACTGAATGAGATGTTTGGTAAAGAAGTTGAACGCCCGATCGGCGCCGCCATTGAATAGATTCAAATTAGACAACTGGTCAGCAAAATACGGGGCAAAACAATTAGACATTAAAATGGCATCAATTGACAGATAATTGAATTAAATACTTGTTTAACATCAACGATGGCTTTGGCCAATCGCTGCGGTATGTTTTTTATCACATTGTTATGAGGTATTGATTGGACGGCATTTGTGGCCTGAGATGGTTGCGCGACCGGTTGCGGGATCAGAGACCGGGCGAGGCGTGCGGCTAGACTTTGACCGACGTTTGACGCTAGAGTTGGGCCGACATTTGATGCCGAAGGTGTTTGTTGAGCGATATTTGCGTACAAAGTTTGGCCGCTATTAGTGAACAATAGTTGTCCGGTTGGGGCTATTCGGGGCAATCAATACATACAATGTATACTTAATTTAGACACAAAATACTTTCATACATAATGTGTTAATGAAGTAAATGTGTTGTGCGGGCTGTATGTCGACCGCCGGCGCCGACGTAACGGTAGCGGGAGTGACGGGTGGCGGAGAGTTTGGTTCGTCTGTGAGGTCAACGAGTGTTGGGGAAGCGGTGGTCGAGGAAGAAGAAGGAGTGGTCGCCGACAATGTATTCCCGGAAGCGGTGGAAAGCATTGCCTCTCTTAGAGAGACGTTACCGACAACTAAACACAAGTATATCATTAGTTTAATGGACACAAAGTCACCGACTATTTCAGTACCAATTGGTGACGACGTGTGCGCAATGAAGTCCAGCCGGGAATCGATGCCCGCTTTGGCGATGAGGGCCTCGAGTTCGGCGATCGGCTCGAACGACCACAACGTGTTGCAGCCCTTATCGATGGCCAGTTTGCTATTCCCGTGTCGGGCCTGAATGTGTAGGCGAAGAGCGGCGTAGCCCGGGAACCGGTCCATACAGCCCAAGCACTTGAGTGGCGCGTAGTGGTAGTGGAGGCGCAGGTGAAGCAGCAGTT